ATAGATAGATAGATAGATAGATAGATAGATTGTGAGTGAGTGAGTGAGTGAGTGAGTAAGTGAGTGAGTGAGTGAGTAAGTGAGTGAGTGAGTGAGTGAGTGAGTGAGAAGGTGGAAGTAAAGAGTAAGAGAGAAGATGAGAGATCGAGAGGTTGAATTGTGACAGACAGACAAACGAACAGACAAACAGACAGGTAAACAGACAGACTAAAAAGTATAGGCCTACTGGTACTGTAGAAACGACCCAAAGTCAGGGAGATAGAAAACATAAGCACGGAGACTTCTCAAGAAGAGTCAGAAGCACATAGGTGTACCACATTTGTTTCTTTTAAAAAGCAAACAAACGAAAAACAAATCATAGATGGATGTGGGTGAACGTCAGGCCATGAAACGAAGCAGATACGTGGGTGATTGGCGGGTGCTCTGGTGTCATTTGCTCCTTCTTTCCTATAACAAAATCTATCGTCCTTATCTCTCCTTTTTTGTGTAAGTTACTCTCAAGTAACACATCTATTCTTCGACACTTATATGACCTTATTGTGTTGCAAGTGCCGTAAAACTTTTACTAAAACGAAAACGAAAACGAAACAGATACAACATTATTCTATGAGATGTTATTATGGTGATGGGCGGTGGGTGCATTCACTTCAAGAACACTTCCAAAATCTGTCGCCCTCGCGTTCGATAATAATATGATCAGTCGCCTGACGGGCTGTCTTTATTGGCCGGTGAAATGCTGTGCGGGTTATGATGCATGCACACTACCTCCCCATTTAGCAGATAATCGAATTGAATTTCGCTACGCCAGACTTACCAAGTTCCTTTTGTTCAATACATGTACCTACTTTTGAGAAATTGGACTTCAAATTTTTGAGTTTCACAATATTAAGTCATGTTTTTTCCAAATGCAGTTATTTGAATATTTGTTGAAAACGACTCCGAATAAGCTTAGGATTTGGATAGAGCAGATACAATAGAATTTTTGGTCCCTGACATCACGGTTTTAGTGACTCAAAATGGCAACAAAAAAAAAAAATGTCAGGTAGAACTGTAGAACTTTATCATTTTGAGGTAACGATTTGTCTCTCGGTCTCATGGTCGGCCTCTACTGAGACCATTTCGATTTTCTTTGTGATTTTCAAAGACTTTTGTCTAAGAAAGCTGTTGCTACTCTGATGTTAGTTTTTTTTAGTAAGGTTTTACGGCACTCGCAACTGCATAAGGTCATGTGAGCGCGACTCTGATGTTAGCTTGTATTTTCATTGTTTTGTTTTCATTGTTTTATTTTTGTTGTTATTATCATTGTTATTATTAATGTTGTTGTTATTGCAGTGTTATTGATGTTTTTGTTTTTGCTGCTGTTGCTGTTGCTGTTGCTGTTGCTGTGTGTGTGTGTGTGTGTGTGTGTGTGTGTGTGTGTGTGTGTGTGTGTGTGGTAGGAGTTTAAGACGGCCGGGCCTAGAACAGAGAGACGGAGAAACAGAGGTACAGAGATAAAAAGAAAAAGAGAGACAGATAGGAGGATTGAGAGACAGGGAGGCAGAGAGAGAGAGAGAGAAAGACAAAGCGGCAGAGAGACAGATAGACAGAGAACGGAGAGACAGACAGAAACACAGAGAGGCAGTGTGTCGAAGAGGCAGAGAGACAGAGAGACAGAGAGATTAGGCGACAAAATAACAAAGAGACAAAGACAGACAGACAGACAGACAGACAGACAGACAGACAGACAGACAGACAGACAGACAGACAGACAGA